GTACGATCGTCTGGTTAAAGAACACCAGGGCGATGAATCAGCTTCATCCAACTCTGAATCTATAGAAACTGACCACAAACGTCCAAACTACCATCAATGGCACGATCGTGTAGTTCAAGGACACCAGGATGACGAATCAGTTTCATCAAACTCTGAATCTGTAGAATCTGACACCACAAACGTCCAAACTACCAACAATGGCACGATCATCTGGTTGAAGAGCACCAAGAAAAATGTACCAGATTCATCAAACTCTGAATCTAAAGAATCTGATCATAAACGTCCAAACTACCATCAATGGCACGATAGTGTAGTTCAAGAACACCAGGATGATGAATCAGTTTCATCCAACTCTGATTCCGTAGAATCTGACCACAAACGTCCCAACTACCATCAATGGCACGATCGTTTAGTTCAAGGACACCAGGATGATGAATCAGTTTCATCCAACTCTGATTCTATAGAATCTGAACACAAACGTCCAAATTACCAACAAAGGTACCGTCGTCAGGTTAGAGAGCACCAGAGTGATGAATCAGTTTTATCTAACTCTGGATCTGTAGAATCTGACCACAAACGTCCAAATTACCGTCGTCTAGTCGAAGAACGCCAAGATGATGAAACAGTTCAGTCCAAGTCCGAATCCGAGGAATCTGATGATAAACGCCCAAATTACAATTGGTACCGTAGTCTGGTCAAAGAACACCAGGGTGATAAATCAGTTTCATCTAACTCTGAATCTAAAGAATCTGACCACAAACGTCCAAATTACCGTCGTCTAGTCGAAGAACACCAAGATGATGAAACAGTTCAGTCCAAGTCCGAATCCGAGGAATCTGATGATAAACGCCCAAATTACAATTGGTACCGTAGTCTGGTCAAAGAACACCAGAGTGATAAATCAGTTTCATCTAACTCTGAATCTAAAGAATCTGACCACAAACGTCCAAATTACCGTCGTCTAGTCGAAGAACACCAAGATGATGAAACAGTTCAGTCCAAGTCCGAATCCGAGGAATCTGATGATAAACGCCCAAATTACAATTGGTACCGTAATCTGGTCAAAGAACACCAGGGTGATAGATCAATTTCATCTAACTCTGAATCTAAAGAATCTGACCACAAACGTCCAAATTACCGTCGTCTAGTCGAAGAACACCAAGATGATGAAACAGTTCAGACCAAGTCCGAATCCGAGGAGGAATCTGATGATAAACGCCAGAAATCTGATAAAGTCCATCCAAGATGGGGATTTTATAGTTACTACAATGGAAAAAACATATTAAACAGTTGTTTTTGATAAATTATAGGTAGAAGTCTTTGTTAAAAATGTTAGATATTTAGAAACAGCAACTTTTGGGAGTTGTTGTTATTGTTGTTGAATTTATTGTTAAAGAAATGTTTAAATATATGTATATAGAGCAAACTACATTTATTTATTTTAAATTAATACGACGTGATAAATGGTGGCATCACGTCGGTTTAAACACAAGCATATATTCAAATTTGGACGAATATAACATGTTATGTTCTGCCAGGAAATTTATTAATTTTAGTGTCTATTGATATGGTAGACACTAAATACTAAAATTTAAAGATGTAATACAACTCCTACTGAGGAGGAGCTTATCAAAAATAGGATTTCGACTTATCTTGTTTTGGTTTTGGCTCTTTTTTGTCAAAAATTTATTTAGGTCTCAAAACTTTGAATAAAAAACTCATTGGTTTTAGTATTTATTGTAATAATGAACACGTTAATGTATAACACATGCAATTTACAAGAACAGTGCGCTCTGAGAAGCTCATGAAAATGCCAGGTTTAGACCTTGACTTTCTATTATAGTTTTTTTTTTCAAAAAAAATATTATCATAGTTGAAATTTGTGGGAAGACTTATTGATCTTAGTATTTGTTGTTGTAGTAGATACGTTGATGTTAAACATACTTAACTTGCAAGGTTGTAGTACGTACAAATAGGGCGTTCTGAGGAGTTTGTGAAAACCAATATTCAGATCTTGACTAAGTATTGTCACTTTATTTATTTAAAAAAAATAATATAGCATCACTTTGCAAAAAACTCATTAGTTTTATTATTTGTTGTTATAGTACACACATTGAGAAGGTACGCCCACAAGAACTCATCAAAACTGGTTCTGAAGATCTACTTTACCAAGTTTTAGTACTTGTTTTAAAATAAACTTTTGTTTATTTAGAAAACTCATCGACTTTAGTATTTATCACAGTAGGCACATCATCTAAAACATCCTATAATTACGTGGTTGTAGAATAAATGGTGCATCCTGGAGAGCTCATTAAATACAAAATTTACATCTTCTCCACGTATTGACAGATTGTTCTATTACAGCATCAGCTGAAATAATTTCAAAAAAATCTTCAAACTTTGAAAAAAAGACTGATTTATTTTAGAATTTTTGTCATAGTTGACACGCTGAAGTAAAGCTTACTCAAATTACAAAATTGTGGTACAAACAGTGCGTTCTGAAGAGCTCACCAAGTTGCAGAATTTTTATCATACTACACTATTCAAAAAATGGTTCTTGAAGCAAAACGTTTCAAAAAAACTCATCAATTTTATCAATTGAGGTAGAACCTGCACAAATTACGACATTGTAATATAGACAGTACGTCCTGAAGAGCTCTTCGAATACATGAAATTTTATTTAAAAAAATATATTAACACCCCAAATTTGCAAAAAACACATCAAGTTTAGAATTTATTTAGCTAGTGTCTCTTCTAAATCCATTTTCCTATTTTTAGAACTCTATTTCAATTAGTTTAGAAGAAAAACCTTCGTCATAAGAATTTTGTTTATTTATTCTTTAATTAACATGTCGATTGTTTAAAAATCTTTTAATCGTTTTCTAAACAATTAAGTTTCACAATACGTCATATCTTTTACAGGAGATCAATTTTATCACAAAAAATTATGCAATGATGTGTGAAAAATTTTGAAAATATTGACGGACAAGATATCGTTTGGAAATTTGAATTTATTTTGAAAAATATCACCTTTGACAAAAGTTGGTGAATTTTAGCTTGCTGTTTTAATTTATGGTACAGCAACTTTACATGATCAATAAGTTGGTGCATTTATTTAGTAAATCCCTAAGAACTCTTAAACGGTTTGTTTATATTTATTAGTATTTTCAACAAGTTTGTACAAAATTAAATTACAAATAAATAAATAATAAATAACATTGTCTAGTATTATAATGCCCTACAGCAACGCTGTATACTTGAAAACTGGATCTGCAATCAAAACAAAATTCACAGAACTCAGATTCAATTCATCTACTCTAATTCTAAATTTGCAAATTTATTTTTTTAAATTCTTGTAATTTTTAAACTGAATGATGTTTTTGCCAAATTAGTTGATAATAATATATAATTTTCACCTTTTCCAACAACATAAAACCCTACCACAATTCGGTATACTTTGAAATTTGTCTTTGAATCAGAACAACATTCCCAAAACTCCCAATACAGCAACTTTCATGGCCAACATATGCATTTATTTAGGATAACTCTTGTAACGTTCACACCATTCGATTAATATGAATGATGTATAAGAGAAATTTGTATAAAATTAAATATTCTATACTTTACATATTAACATAAGGCTCTACAACAACTCATTATACTTTTAAATTGCTATGGAAAGCAACAACATAAAAACAATCTTGGATCAACTTACGGAAATTCTATAACAAATCCTTAATTTGTTTCCTATATTTTTTTAGTTTAATTTAAATATTTATTGTTACATGAGATGGCCATCAATGCTTTATAAACAAATTAATTAATTCTTGTAATTTCAAGTCATCAAACCTTGTATATAAATATAAGAAACTTATACAATTTATAAACAGTTTGTTATCAACAAAATAGTATTTTTAAGTGATATGAAACGATTTCAAGTGAGTAATTTTTAATGATGAGTATAATTTTAGATTTGTCAGGATAGTTTTGGACTTTAATATAATTTTATAAAAACAAAATGATTTATAATTTATTTGTCTGAAAACTGCCTGCAACTGTCCAATAGACATACATGTTATTATTCCATCAACCAAATGCTTTTGCAGAAGACTCTTCTACGTCAGGTTCTATTTTTGTACCAATTAACGTAAAACTGGTTATATTTTTTTTTATTATTTTTGTACCAATTAACGTGAAACTTTGTACATAGAGAAATAATTTAATTCTTTAAGAACTAACGAATAGGCAATCTTTTTATTAATTTATCATAAGTATAGTTTAGTTTAGTAATTCATCAGGATGCTTTCAGAAGTCTTGGCTATGTGTGGTTCTATTTTTGTACCACTCAACAACAAAGGCTGTACCTGTCCAAATAACAAATCCTAATCATGGCGAAGAATTAAACCATCTTTCCAGAGATCTCATAAAAGATCAAGATGTTTCTGAACTTTTTTACACGCCAGGATTTCCAGTGCCACCTGAAATAGATGTAACAGCTCCTTATCCGGATCTATTCCCGGAGCAATCAGGAATTACTGCAGGTTTTCCAATCGAAGATACTAATGATGATTCTAAGGAATCAGTTACAAGCAAATATCCGGGTACAAAACCTGGTTTTCCAGGAAATCCAGAGAGCAGTGTTATACCTAATCAGAATGCAAATAGTTCTACTACGTTGAAGCCAGCAGAAGGATCAGGAGATGAGGTTGGTCACGAAAGTCATAGCTCACACGAGAGTCACTCTTCTCATGAAACTAACAACTCTCATGAATCTCATACTTCACACGAAAGCCACACCTCACATGAATCTCATAGTTCTCATGAAAGCCACAGTTCCCATGAAAGCCATAGCTCGCATGAGTCGTCTGGAAATACTGAAGAAGATTCTGAAACACCAACGCCAGGGTATCCCGAAGATTCCGGAAATATGGTTACTCCTGTATTGCCAGATATAGGAGCCACTAATGCTCCTGAATTAAGCTCTACAGGGACTCCTAGGCCAACTCCAGGAATTCCTGGACATGGACACAATTCTCACGAAAGTCATAGTTCACATGAAAGTCATAGCTCTCATGAATCTAACAGCTCTCATGAGAGCCAAACATCTCATGAGTCTCACAGTTCTCATGAAAGTCACAGTTCACACGAGACGTCAGGAAATTCCGGAGAAGATTCTGGAATATTGGCTCCTGGATATCCAGGACAGCCCGGAATTAACGTAACTCCTGAATTACCAGATACAGGAAACACGAATTCTACAACACACAGTTCGACGAGTCATCCAGGACCAACGCCAGGAATTCCTGGCCATGGCGATTCTCATGAAAACCACAATTCCCACGAAAACCACAATTCTCACGAAAGTCATAGCTCACATGAAAGTCATAGCTCTCATGAATCTAATAGCTCTCATGAGAGTCAAACATCCCACGAGTCTCACAGTTCTCATGAAAGTCACAGTTCACACGAGACGTCAGGAAATTCCGGAGAAGATTCTGGAACATTGGCTCCTGGATATCCAGGACAGCCCGGAAATAACGTAACTCCTGAATTACCAGATGCAGGAAACACGAATTCTCCAACACACAGTTCGACGAGTCATCCAGGACCAACGCCAGGAATTCCTGGCCATGGCGATTCTCATGAAAACCACAATTCTCACGAAAGTCATAGCTCACATGAAAGTCATAGCTCTCATGAATCTAATAGCTCTCATGAGAGTCAAACATCCCACGAGTCTCACAGTTCTCATGAAAGTCACAGTTCACATGAGACTTCAGGACATTCAGGAGAAGACTCAGGAACATTGGCTCCTGGATATCCAGGACAGCCCGGAAATAACGTCACTCCTGGATTACCAGATACAAATTCCTCAACACCCAGTTCTACGAGTCATCCAGGACCAACGCCAGGAATTCCTGGCCATGGCGATTCTCATGAAAACCACAATTCCCACGAAAACCACAATTCTCACGAAAGTCATAGCTCACATGAAAGTCATAGCTCTCATGAATCTAATAGCTCTCATGAGAGTCAAACATCCCACGAGTCTCACAGTTCTCATGAAAGTCACAGTTCACACGAGACTTCAGGAAATTCTGGAGAAGATTCTGGAACATTGGCTCCTGGATCTCCTGGACAGCCTGGAAATAACGTCACTCCTGAATTACCAGATACAGGAAACACAAATTCCCCAGCACATTCTTCGACAAGTCAACCAGGACCAACTCCAGGAATTCCTGGCCATGGAGATTCACACGAAAACCACAATTCTCACGAAAGTCATAGCTCACATGAAAGTCATAGCTCTCATGAATCTAATAGCTCTCATGAGAGTCAAACATCCCACGAGTCTCACAGTTCTCATGAAAGTCACAGTTCACATGAGACTTCAGGACATTCAGGAGAAGACTCAGGAACATTGGCTCCTGGATATCCAGGACAGCCCGGAAATAACGTCACTCCTGGATTACCAGGTTCAAATTCCTCAACACTCACTTCCACGAGTCATCCAGGACCAACGCCAGGAATTCCTGGTCATGGCGATTCTCATGAAAACCACAATTCTCACGAAAGTCATAGCTCACATGAAAGTCATAGCTCTCATGAATCAAACAGCTCTCATGAATCAAATAGCTCTCATGAGAGTCAAACATCTCACGAGTCTCACAGTTCTCATGAAAGTCACAGCTCACACGAGACCTCAGAAAATTCTGGAGAAGATTCTGGGACATTGGCTCCTGGATATCCAGGACAACCCGGAAATAACGTCACTTCTGGATTACCAGATACAGGAAACACAAATTCCCCAGCACATTCTTCGACAAGTCAACCAGGACCAACTCCAGGAATTCCTGGCCATGGAGATTCACACGAAAGTCATAGCTCACATGAAAGTCATAGCTCACATGAAAGTCATAGCTCTCATGAATCTAATAGCTCTCATGAGAGTCAAACATCCCACGAGTCTCACAGTTCTCATGAAAGCCACAGTTCACACGAGACTTCAGGAAATTCCGGAGAAGATTCTGGAACATTGGCTCCTGGATATCCAGGACAACCCGGAAATAACGTCACTCCGGGATTACCAAGCACAAATTCCTCAACACCCAGTCCGACGAGTCATCCAGGACCAACGCCAGGAATTCCTGGCCATGGCGATTCTCAGGAAAACCACAATTCTCACGAAAGTCATAGCTCACATGAAAGTCATAGCTCTCATGAATCTAATAGCTCTCATGAGAGTCAAACATCTCACGAGTCTCACAGTTCTCATGAAAGTCACAGTTCACACGAGACATCAGGAAATTCCGGAGAAGATTCTGGAACATTGGCTCCTGGATATCCTGGAAAACCCGGAAATAGCGTCACTCCTGGATTACCAGATACAAATTCCTCAACACCCAGTTCTACGAGTCATCCAGGACCAACGCCAGGAATTCCTGGCCATGGCGATTCACATGAAAACCACAATTCTCACGAAAACCACAATTCTCACGAAAGTCATAGCTCACATGAAAGTCATAGCTCTCATGAATCGAATAGCTCTCATGAGAGTCAAACATCTCACGAATCTCACAGTTCTCATGAAAGTCACAGCTCACACGAGACCTCAGAAAATTCAGGAGAAGAATCTGAAACACCAACACCAGGATATCCAGGACAACCTGAAAATAATGTAACTCCTGGAATACCGAATACAGGAAACACACATGCTCCTGAAATAAGCTCTACCAGTCATCCAGGGCCAACTCCAGGAATTCCAGGCCACGGAGATTCACATGAAAGCCATAACTCACACGAATCTCACTCTTCTCATGAATCTAACACCTCCCATGAATCCCAATCATCTCATGAATCCCACTCTTCTCACGAATCTAACACCTCCCATGAATCCCACTCTTCTCACGAATCCCACTCCTCGCATGAAACATCACAAGAATCAGGCCAACCAGAGGCAGGATTTCCTGGTCAACCAACTCAAAAACCAGGATCAAGTTCTACCAGCAATCCTTGCATTTGTCCTGTAGATTCATCAAGTAACTCTGACATTACATTCGACATAGAAAACTTTATGGAAAAGATAACTAATCCAGAAGCCAGGCAGGAATTAGAAGAATTTCTCCAAAATTGGGAAGTGAAGGTAATTGTCAAGAAGAGGAAGTAGAAGCTGCGATAATAAATATATATGTATGTTATTTGTAAGATAAATAACTTTGTTACTGTTGTTTTGAAATAGTTGTTTATAGTTTTGTAGAAATTCCAATAAACTTGCTTTGTGTTGTTTCGTTTTTTGTCTTTTTACACTTCCTTAACTGATACTATTTTTCACTATTCCTTTTTAGATTATGGAAGTTGCGTTCTTTTAAGGTAGACCATTTAAATTTTTGTGTTTCATTGGTAATTCTATATATGTTTTTTTTTAATTCTGGCAGCAAAAGCTATCAAATTGACTGCAACAGTAATGCCATGATATATGTTACCAATAAGAAAGTCTTATAATGGAGAAGGAATTTAATGTTAAATTTATAAAATTGTTCAAGTTTTCTCATGATAATTTTGTTCTAGACAAAAATTTTTGCATCTGCTTACTAATAAAGCCATTTACCACATGATACAATACTCATACATACATACACATATTTGTCCAATTTTAGTATCAAAGGATTCAGAATGACCAGAAATCAGTTTGTATAGCAAAAGAATACAGTTTTCATTTTGGAAGTAAAAATTAGTCATTGAGTTTGTTATTTATGGTTAAATAAACTTTAAAAAGAGCTTAATAAGAAAATAAATATATTTATCATAGTGTGAATAGTGAAAAGGCATAAGCAGAATTTCATAGTAACTTTTATTAATAAAATAACTGCAAAAGTCAACACTTATTCTAATATTTACATTAACTATTTTCTTATAATCAGTCATTTATTTGTCAACAAAATCAACTCCTTATTCTCGTTCCTTTCCCTTACAAGACTTCTTCTTGTGCAAAGAAAGGCTACTCCCTTGGGTAAACTTAGCAAAGCACCACTCGCACTGAAAAGGCTTCTCTTTGGTATGAGTCCTCATATGAACAGTCAAATAATTATTCAAAGCAAACTCCTTCCCACAAACTTCACACTTATACTCCTTTTCTTGATGACACTTCATATGGAGATTCAAAGAACTCGATTGAGTAAAAACTTTCTCACACTTGACGCACTTAAAAATCTTCTCACTCTTGTGCATTTTTAAGTGACTCTGCAAAAGTTTTGGAGAAGGAAAAGATCTGCTGCACAATTTGCATTTGTGGTTCTTTGTTTCATTGTGTTGTTTCATGTGGGTTAGCAAAACTGATGATTGTGAGAAGGCTTTTGAACATACTTCACAAGTATAAGGCTTCTCACCAGTGTGGACACGAATATGGTACTCCAGGCCATGTTTACGGGCAAAGGTTTTGGAGCAATATTGGCACTGAAATGGACGTTCACCACTGTGCTGTCTCATGTGGATTGGGAGGTACTCGAGTCTAGTAAAGGATTTACCTGGGTAAAAAAAATTGGAAGTACACAACCGATTTAATCAATTACAACTGACTTTGCAACTTTTTATTAGTTAAGTTCAACAAATAGTTTAAAATCTATGAATGCATTTTTTACTTAGGCTTGGATATGCATGATAAGCATTATTTTAATATTTTTAGTAAATACATTTAATTAGTTTGATTGCAATGAACAATGCATTAAGACAAGTTGCATACATGTGACAATAAAATTCAAAGTTTTATTTCAATACTCATATTATATTTGAAAAGACCTTTCAACTTCATGGTATGTGTAAATAATCAACTCAAAGAAGAGTAAATAAGATCAATTAGGATAAAAGTTTAATGAAAAATAGGAATTATAGAATTCTAGAGCCTTCCCCCCATTGTAATGATGCCTATCAGCGGTTTCCATGGGAACAAGAAGCAAGAGAAAAGTGGAGATGGAGTTGGTATTATTTTTTAATGAGTCCAACATACCCAGGCAAAAGACCTAGTCAGGTCTTTGAAATAATAATTAATTTATGACAAATGTTAGAAGTCATGGCATTTTTTTTTTAATTTTATTCAGAAATTCAAAGTTTTATTTCAATACTCATATTATATTTGAAAAGACCTTTCAACTTCATGGTATGTGTAAATAATCAACTCAAAGAAGAGTAAATAAGATCAATTAGTATAAAAGTTCAATGAAAAATAGGTATTATAGAATTCTAGAGCCTTCCCCCATTGTAATGATGCCTATCAGCGGTTTCCATGGGAACAAGAAGCAAGAGAAAAGTGGAGGTTGCAGTTGGTATTATTTTTTAATGAGTCCAACATACCCAGAGAAAAGACCTAGTCAAGCTACACAAAAAACAAGTTAATTTATTTATTTCTTACCACAAACTGAGCAAGTAGGTTTTTCCATATGACTCCTCAAGTGTGCCCTAAACTGGTTCTCCAATGTAAAAGTCTCTCCACAGTTCGTGCATTTAAAAATAGTCTTATGAATTTTGTTATGTTTATCCAAATCCATTTTCAAATGAAACTTCTTTTGACAAATAAAACATTTGTACTTTGTACATCTTTTGGCTAATTTGTGATAAATCAAAGATTGTTCATCACAGAAATAAATATCACAATCGGTGCAATGAACAAAATCCGTGCAGATGTCAGCATCTAGGAGCTCTTCGCAGGATGAATCTGGGAGGCTGTAATAGAAATAAATATATAAATATATATGCATATATATATATATATATATGTGTGTGTGTGTGTGTGCTATGACAACCAATACAAAAATTGATAAGTGAAAGTATAGGTAAAATATTTTTAAAAGAGAACAATGTACCATAGATCAAAATTCTGCATTTCATGAGCTCCTCAAGACGCACTGGTTGTACTACAACCTTCTAATTTGAATATGTTATATCTCAATAAGTCTACTATAACAACAAATACTAAAATCAATGAGATTTTTTCCAAAGTTTTGAGTTATTTACATATATTTGAAGAAGTACCAAAACTGGTTGAAGACATCATGGAGAGAGGTTTTTTTTTTCAAATATTTTTACCAAGATTCTACACATGTGTGGAACTAATTGCGACATTTTTATTGTTTTGTGAGAAAGTTGAAAATGCTATCTGATTAAAAGTGTATATTGTGTTTTAAAGTATTGATGTGGTCCGCAAGCATAGTTTTAAATTGTCTGTGATTTTTTTAAAATTATTTTTGTGTTGTAAATGTTTAATTAAGTTTCTCCTATGTAAATTAAATTACAGTCCAGACAATTTATTTTATAGTCAAGATTTCTATGTTGTTCAATGTTAAAAGGTATTTTATTAAAAATAATATATATATATATATATATATATAAATGTTAAATTTTAATAATTTTGATGTTGAGATATGTGAGATTCAGTCTTCTTTCATCTTTTTATCTTTTTACTATATGTATCCTCCTCGCGTTGTCAAATCCTGAATTCTCTGGTCAGTGTTTGTGCCCTCTACCTAACTTAACATGTGCTGTGCAGATTTTTGTCCCACTGCCGCATTGGACAACGTGCTTTGTGACATGTACTATACAATAAAAAATTTGTTTTAAAAATTTTATATAATTGTTCAGATTTAAAGTAACAGGAACTGTTTTTATTGTGCTTTTGTGAACAATTATTATTGTGAAATAATTAGCATTACTACAATTACATGTAAGTTTTCACACCATACCACTTTCTTATAAATTAATTTTAATTAATAGCTTTAATATGTGCTTTTAAACTAGAGTCCACTGAAGATGACACAAAACAATGTGTCGAAACGTATGGAAACGTTTGAATTGATGTATTGCCCTGAAGACTTAATCTCATATATACATATATATATATATATATATATATATATATATATTCCATTTCCAATTGAAAATATAGATGAAAATATGATTCAAATTGAAAACAAGCTCATCTCGGGCACTGTGATATGAAATGGAAATAGGAAAAACTCTCACACTACTTCATCCCTGAATTAAGTTGGAGTTTAACTCAGTTCACAGACCTGCCTTAAGGCTGTACTACCCATTATATATATATATATATATATATATATATATATATATATATATATATATATATATTGCATGTATGTATATATATATTGCTGTCGGTATACTCACATTTCATCTTTGACATGAACATCCAACATAGAATCTTTATCTAAAATTTCGAAATAAAACAGATCACAATCTCCATTATATCCTAAACTATCACAATCTCTTCTTTTTAATATCACCATAGTTCTTTACAAATTCTGAAACAAATGTGGATTTTGAGGTTAGGTCATCCTCTGGCTCTTTTTTAATACATATCTCTGATAACTGTTGATTGAAACATATTGAAAATATTATTTTTGAATGTGCTTTTTTAGGTTTTTGTTTTGTTTTACATGCCTACTTGATTTATTTGATGGCATATTTATTGTTTTGATGACATTTTGACATTTTAGACAACGTTGGTAAATAAACATGCAACAAGTGGCCGCCATGACAGGTGAGAGATGTCAAAGGAAACTGTCAAGAAAATGGCGGTTGGGATTTGAATTGTTTAGATAAATTATATAAATTTTATAAATCGATAAATTGATAAATTATATAAATTTTATAAATCGATTCATATATATACATGTATATATATATATATATATATATATATATATGTAAAAAAAATACCTAATTTTTTAGTTTAAATTTCGCGCGTTGTGATCGTCATAGATACCCCTTGCGCCCTTTCGCCAATAATGGATAGCAAAACAAGTGATAACCTAAAATACGTCATGGCGAAATTAATAAAATTACATAAAAGTAAATAATCTCTAAAATAGTAGATATTAGTGTAAATGTGTTTAGGAACTGAAATTGTGATTAATAA